TTGTCTTTCAAATAGTTTATCTACAAGGAATATACATACATACATACATACACACACACACACACACACACACACACACACACACACACACACACATATATATATATATATATATATATATATATATATATATATATATACATACATACACATACTAGACAAAGCCAGGCAATCAATCATCAACTACAGCATGGAAGCACACACGGAAACAGAGATATGTCCCAATATGGGTTGTCTTATAATACAGCCTATCAAAGTGGTAAAGAGTCAAATAACCTTGCTAACTCATTACTACCATTGTATCATCATTAGAGTATTACAGCATTACAGCAGTTGGTCCGCTATTAAATCATCATTACCTTGACAGGCTGATGAGACACGGGCCGGCCCCTCATATTTTCCAACACGGCCCCGTGAGCTGGATCTGGCCCGTGGGCCTTGCATTTGATACTCCTGGTCTAGTACAATTGGTTTGCGCTGAATAAACTGAATAAAAGAGTTGGAAGGGATCTTATGAGGTCTTCTAGTCCAGCCCCCTGCTCAAGCAGGTGGACCCTACACAACTTGTTATAAACCTCCAGGGTTGGAAACAGCCACAACTTCTGGAGGCAAGCCATTCCACCGGTTCACTGTTCTCGCGGTCGAGAAATTCTTGCCGAGTTCCAGGTTGCTTCTCTCCTCGATTTGTTTTCCGACTCTCGCGGGGCCCCCGGTTGCGAAGCCGAGTGACGAGCACGTTTAAAACCGCAAACCCAATTCCCGCTTTCCTTTCTCCAGGCCCTGGGACGGAAGCCTCTCGGACGACCTGGAAGAGATGAAGCTCATCCTCCATATGTGGGTGGCACTGTTTTACGGCAAACCGGCCCCAACCCTGACGGTACGAAAAGTGGTGGAGCACCGAAACCCGGCCAAGTACGTCTCCCTGAACAGCCTGGTGGAGCCCTTGGAGTTCCTTGGTGATGGTGGCGAGCCTTATGTGCTGGAGGAACGCCTCGCGGCTTCTCTCCCCAAAACTGTCCAGAGACCTGCCGAAGGAGGGGAAGACGGATCGGTTTCTCCTCCCGAGAAGCTACTCCCGGGCAGCGAACTGTCCGCCACCAACTCCTTAGAGGACGAGAGTCCTCTGACAGAACTTGAAGCAACAAAGGACCTGCCTGAGAAGGAAGGACCGTCTCCTCCTCCAAAGTCCATTGACGAGGTAAGGTTTTGGTGGGCCCCGTAGAGGCAATGGACGCCTCCTGTTCAAGGGATGCTGGTTGGCCCCAATGGGGGAGGGAAGATTGGCAGATCACGGTTGAATCGTGGGGTCCGTGGTTGATCTCTGAGCTGGTTTCCTTGCAGATGTCTCGTGACCCAACTAGATAATGTCGTCAGGGCTAAGAGGGTATTGGCTTTATGGAGTGGAGGTAAAGGAGAAGGGGAGGAAGAAGAGGAGGAAGGAAGGGGCAGGAGGAGGAAGAAGAGAAGGAGAAAGGAAGGGGAAGAGGAGAAAGGAAGTGGAAGAGGAAGAGAGGAAGTGGAGGAGAAAGAATGGGGGAGGAGGCAGAGGGGGGAGGAGGAAAAGGGGGGAGGAGAGGTGGAGGAATGGGGAGGAGGAGGAGAAAGAGGAGATGGAGAAAGGAAGGAGAGGAGGAGAAAGGAAGGGAAGGAGGCAGAGCAGAGAAGGAGGAGAAAAGAGGGGGAGGAAGAGAAAATGGGGAGGAGGAAAGGAGAGGAAGGGGAGAAGGAAGAGAAGGTGAAAGGAAGGGGGAAGAGGAGAAAGAAGAAGAAAGAAGGGGAGGAGGAAAAATGAAGGAGGAGGAGGAAGGAAGGGTGGAGGAAGGGGAGGAGGAAGAGAAAGGAAGGGAGAAGAGGGAGGAGGAAGAGAAGGAGAAAGGAAGGGGAGGAAGAGAAAAGGGAGGAGGAGGAAAAAAACAGGGTGGAGGAAAGGGAGGAGGAAGAGGAGAAGGAGAAAGGAAGGGGGAAGAGGAGAAGGAGAAAGGAAGGGGGAAGAGGAGAAAGAAGAAGAAAGGAAGGGGGAGGAGGAAAAATGAAGGAGGAGGAGGAAGGAAGGGTGGAGGAAGGGGAGGAGGAAGAGAAAGGAAGGGAGAAGAGGGAGGAGAAAAGAGGGAGTGGGAAGAGGAGAAGGAGAGAGGAGGCAGAGGAGGAGGAAAAAGGAGGGAGGGATTCCAGTCCCAATTATGGTCGTAAGTCGAGTCCTACCACTATGTTCCTATGCTAGCATAACTTGTGGGTTTAAAAAACCCGTAGAGATTTTTTGCTAAACTCCTTTGTCCGTCTGCAAATCTGAAAGCTGGATTATTTTTCTTCCAGGCGGTCGAAGCAGAGCCCAAGGAACAAACCTCACTTCACCCTGTGCTTCCTGTTGAAACCCCGCCTGGGTCTGACGAACGTGGGAACCCTCCGATCTCTCAAACCAAGACGGACAGAAGTCAAGAGACAATGTTGGTTGAAACTCCACAAAATGAGGCATCCGTGCCTTCGGGACCTCCGGAGGGTACAAGAAACCAAGAGCCTGATGCAAGCACCAAAGTTGCCGTTGCGGTACCAAAGAGGGGATCTGACATTGGGTCTTCTTCTTCTTCAGAAGAAGTGAAGAAGGACAACCTCCCAGTTGGTAGTCCCAACCCAGGAACGTTGAAAGGAGAGGGGTTGAAAGCAGATGTGGAGTCTCGGGAGCCCAGTAATCCAGGAAACGGAGTGGGAAACCAGCCCAGACTCCGTACGGAGGAGCGAGATGGAGAAAGCGTGGACTTGGGATCCGTTGATCTGTGGCTCTCCAAAAGCAACGAAGATGACATGGAAGTCCGAGATATGGATCTGGTTTCAGAGGATGAGGAAGATCCTCTGCAGAGCGGTGAGACAGGAAAAGAAAAAACAGATGGTATGATTGATGACAAGTCATCTGAACAAGGTCCTCTCCCATCTAGGGCATCGTCCCCAGATGCCTCGCCTGGGCATCCGACAGAATTCCCGAATGTCCAAGAAGCTGAGGTACGACTGTCCTCAAGTTCGGTCCCTCAGCAGAAGATCTCGGGCCATCCAGTGACTGTTGATGAAAAGATGGTTGGATCAACCACAAGCTCTGTATCTCCAAGTCAAATGGGGTTGATGGATACGGTCCCTCAGCAGAAGATCTCGGGCCATCCAGTGACTATTGATGAAAAGATGATTGGATCAACCGCAAGCTCTGTATCTCCAAGTCAAATGGGGTTGATGGATACGGTCCCTCAGCAGAAGATCTCGGGCCATCCAGTAACTGTTGATGAAAAGATGGTTGGATCAACCTCAAGTTCTGTATCTCCAAGTCAAATGAGATTGATGGATACAGTCCCTCAGCAGAAGATCTTGGGCCATCCAGTGACTGTTGATGAAAAGATGGTTGGATCAACCTCAAGTTCTGTATCTCCAAGTCAAATGAGATTGATGGA